TATTTTTCTCTTAACAAAACCAGACATATAAGAAACCTATATGGCAAGTCACCTATCTTCTGTTACTTCCCTATCTCCACTCCTTAGTTGGGTAATTTTTCCGAGTTAGGGTCCTAACTTGCAATCCTTGATGTGAATTGTCCTCAATTCATTAAAACCTAAGATAGTAAACTCTAGAGGAAGGAATCTGGTCTTGTTGCACCATGAATACCTATACCACCAGCAAAAAAATAAATTAAGTAGCTACTTACATTGTGTGTGGATTTAACATGTGTGGATCTTAGATTGCAGTAATCCAGAACACCAGTCCAAAACTGCTGAATTTTTAAAAATACGCAACCATGCAGTCCATCTTCTTTCAATTGAGGCCATTGCTTTTGGGTGCTACACATGCGTTTAGTGGCCCACATTCCTCTATAATGTAGCCCCTGAATCCAGGTGGTGTAACAATACATGGATGAGCTCAAGGCGGGAGCATTTTACTGACATAGACTTGTAATGAATGAGGGAGCTATCACACCACCAGATGAATTTATTGCTGGACATTACAAGGCTATGCAAAGGAGATGTCCCATCATCCAATAATAATCTTCAAAATACCTGGTGAAAACAGAAAAAGTCAAAACCAAGTTGAGTGACAAAAAAGATGCTGTATGTCAAGGCCCTGACCCTCCCATGGGAGCCATGTGAAATCCCAGTGATATGGTTAACCCTTACAGCAGAGATGGAAAAGCTATACCACTCCTGGGGGGAGATGCTCTGAGCCTCACAGTGTGGATCCAGACAAGCCACGGGCTATATTTGGCCAGCGTGCTCTGTCTGGCACGAGGAAGCAGCTCTGCACAGCAGCACTGGGAAGTTCTGTCCTTGTGATGGCTTGTAGGCGCCACCTCTATCACTCCCATTGGCTAGGAACCATGGCCAATGGGACAGTAGGGATCACAACGCCTGCAAGCTAAGAGCCATGTGAAGCTACCTGCCCTCCTCGGGTAGGTGCCCCCATACTCTGCCACCTCCTGCCCAAACCCCACACAGCTCACTCCTGCACCTTACCTCCTGCCCAGATTCTGCACCCTCCCAGACCCTCTCCTCCTACTTGCTCCCACCTAGGCCCTGCACTCCTACCCTCCCTGCACACACACCCACTCTCCCAGCCCACTCCTGCACCCCACCCAGCCCCCACCCTAGCCTGCTTCTGAACCCTACATGCCACCCAGACCCCATCCCTGACAGCCCCCTTCCCCCACACACTGAGCTTTTCATTTTTGGCCCTACCCCAGAGCCTAGGGGCCCCACAGACTCTGCTACC